TGATGTCATTCATGAAGTAGAAGTGTGGTTTAAGGCACAATCTGCAGAATTCTACAATAATGATATTCAGAGGGTCAAGAAATACTGGGGAAAATGTGAAAATCTGGATGGTGACTACATAGAGATTAGTTAACAACTACATATCAAAACAAACTTTCAGTCAAACTTTTTTAAAGGCGATAATTAAAACTTTACAATATCCCCTCATATTTCCCTAATTGTGATGGTTCAAGGATTCTTATTCCCCCCTCCCCCATCTCAGAAACCCCCCTTTTCAGCTAGGATTTAAATCGCTACAACCATATACATATGTTGATTGTAATGTAGTTGTGGTCAGATCACAAATTACCACAAAGTAAATTGCATAATTTCAAGGCAGAACCCACATTTAGCTGGTTAAGAGTAAGTTTGGCTTCCCTGTGATTGTCAGTACCAATTTACTAGCCTTGACTTCAGAGAGGACTGCTTGGAGTAGAGACAGAGGGGGAGAAAAAGATCCACATAAGCTGCCTTGAGGTTCCTTCAGTGATCTTTCTCAGCCTGACCCACCCAACAGTGTTGCTTGTCGGGGAAATCAAGCACAGAGAGATAAATCTTTGTATGCTTCCTTGAGACCATTAAAGGAAAGTAGAGATATAAATGTAACAAATTAATAATATGTGGTAAATTCATAAACATAATAATTAGAATAGTCATGACTGTTTAGAGGGTGAAAAAAAATAAGATGATAATGTCAGCAATGCCATCTTGGTAGGTTTAATAAGCTTTACCATGAAGGTTAGCTTCAAAACATACACTCTCAAATATATGAACACACATGTGCACACTCCCTCACACACAAAACATTTTCTGGATATATTGTCCCAGAGGATTTCTTCTTTCATCATGCTTGTGCCAGCCTCTGTTTGTGCCAGCCTCTGCTTTATTCATGTTTTTATGATATGCTGACTCAGCAGAGGCCTTCCAAGGAAAAGAAAACATTACAGTTCATTGCTTTTGGTACTCCACTACTTAAGGCAGTCATCACACTATGCTCAATTGATGGTCTGGCTCTATATTTTATCTTGCATAGGGTTCTGAGAAATGAGATGTGTTCTGCTGTCCTAAGGAAAGAAAAAAATGGGTAAATATAAGAAGAGAGGATAGATAAAAACTTATGGCTTTTGCTTAATGTGAACCTTAGATTTTTGAAAGGTGGATTCATTTTCAAAGACAGATAACATCCCTTGGAAGGGCTGGTTCCACATTTATTTTTCTTAGGACTATGTTATGGCCCATTGAACCAATTATTCACACTCATGTCCTACTAAATAAAATGAGGCTTACACCTAAGTAAATATGCATAGGTCACAAAGGAGTTTGTTATTATTCTTATTCTTATTCTTATTATCCAAAATTTCTTGTTTTAGTCTATTGCAGAAAAATAAAAATAAAAATACTTTTGCAATACCTTGGAGACCAATACATTTTATTTGACATGTTTGTGGACTGCTGTTCTCTTCATCAAATGGATAGAAAGATAATAATAATAATAATAATAATAATAATAATAATAATA